AGTAACAGAAAATATTTGAAGCCTTTTCAGAAAGGACCTTTCAGCAGAACATTGATATAAAGGGTATTAGTGATGGGGGAATATTTTTAGAGCCATCACATCTGTTGGGAAAAAGAAAAAAAAGACGAAGAGCGAGAGTCAGCAACAGGTACCATCTTTACAGCTTGACAGCAGCTATTACACTTGATTGCTCTTTGAAAACTACACTATTTGCACTTTTGGGTGACAAGGTGATAATGCACCTCTGCACAAGTTAAACTGGTAATATTGCTGCGCATGGGAAATAGCACCTTCTCTTCACCAGCCGTCAAAGCTGTCATCCCGGCATGGTAGAGGCACACAATAAGAGCCTGGGGAAGTGTATCACCAACAGTCGTCTTCTTCTCAGTAAAAGACAGACAGACAGGCCTCCAGATGGCTTAATCACTGGAGGAGCTCGTGCCCTCGAGCAACAAGGCAAGAAAGAAAGACTGAGAGTGAGAAATAAAGAAAAAGAGGGATCCTGGAGTGTGGGAAAGTGAAGTGCAGAAAAAAAAAACGGAGAGAGAGGAAGGGCTGCCAGTGGACTAGTTTGGTCTGAACAGAAAAACATCAGTGGTTTCCACACAAAAACTGATATATCTCTGGTTAAAGTTACAATCAGGTTAAGCTGTTTACATGAAGATTCCAACTGAATTTGCGCTAAATAAGCCTGAAACTGGACTATATTTGGTCCAGTGAAAGGAAAAGAGTTGAAACATGAGCTTTGACGATGACATTAACTGACCCAGGGTCATCATGAAAGGTTTTATTTTATTTTTATTTTTTTTGCTCTGCATCTTGTTCACACTGTGGGGTTTAATTAGTGAAAAAGGTTTATTATTAGCTATAATGTGGTATTATGTCACACTGATATCTTAGTTTTGAGAAGGAGTTGCTTATAAGTCTGAAAATTGAAAAAAAAGGCAAACAAACAAAAACCTGGCAGTCATTTGATGAACCGTTAGCCTAGCCTGAACAAAGATCTTTGCCTTTTTCGTAATACTTCATGTTTTATTAGATTAGATTTATTTTGGTAAATTTACAACAGATAAAATATGTTTTAAGCCATGCCAAAGCTGATCACTATTTGAGAGCATCATTTAAAAAATGATTACACTATCCTGAATAAATTTATAGTTATTAGAGGTTAGTACTGATGTTAAAAGCACTACAATATATTTTTAAGTTTTCCTTTTTGTAATGTTGACAATGTTTAATATACGTATTATGTTTTGATTAATATAGATTAATTCCATGTCCGAGTTATATAACAACACAATCAATCGTTGTGATGACATTAGCTGAGAATTTTGTCTGAATGCCTGTGATTCAGCCGTAGGTCAGTAGGGGGCGAACGCAGGCACTGAAGAAGGTGTATAAATACATGAACTTCCTGGTTTTTCGCCAGTGTGGTTTCCTGTCAGCTTGGGTGACAATAAATCTCACTCAGATCCAGAATTCTGGTGTTGTATGGTTTGATTCGTTCTACAAATCATTTTATTTAACAATGGTGGTTTTAATATCGACTTCAGTTTATTGAGTATGAATTTTCTTACAATCCCTTTAGCAACCCGGTACCTACTTGATGAGGTTTAGAACAACAATGTAAGTAGGTTTTCATATACCTTCAAGGCTGTGTGTTCTGACAAAGAAAGTACAATCTAAAATGTGTTGGTCTGAAATAAAATGACTCGCCATCAAAAAAAATTGATGTTTGTAGCTGCCAAAACATTTATCATGGAACCTTGAGTTTGATGTTGGCTATTGCTGTGCAAAACTCTGACTGAGAACACAAAGGCACTTTCCAGAAACACCTTGGTCACTCATAGAGGTCATTTTCAAAGCTCTTTCTAGCCATCATAGAAGTTCAAGCTTGTGTTGTGGTAATAATTTCAGATTTGACAATGCAAACCTCTGCTGATGCCATATTTCTAGATTCACGAGAAATAAGTGGTCACATTTTAAACTGAGTATTTGGTTCTGAGTTGCATAACATACAGTATATTTACATTGTAAACTGATAAAAGCTAAAGTTTGACTTCATTTAACTCTTCCTGATTCAGTTTTGCCTACTGATATCATCATCATTGATTAAAAAAAAAAAAAACCTTTTAAAAGAGTTGTTTAAAAAGCATAAAGTAAGTGACTAGTAGAAGTTTTTTTTAACAGCAACAAACAAAACAGGAGTTATTGTATAGCACATCACTATAAGAGTACTTGTAAATTGGGAGTGATGGGTCTAGCTGGGTACATATGATATCTCTGTCTCATCTTTCTCTTGCATACTGCTCAAATTGTAAGAGGTGCTCATCTTTGAGCTCTGCTATTCTTCTCTAAAAAAAAAACCCTTCACATTTCCTCTCCAGCTTGTCAATCTCAACCTTCTGAAGTCCTACTTCACTTTTAATATATTAAATGAACAAGGGGGTTGAGGTAATGTAAGTAATACGACGTGAGAAGCAATGTTCGCAAGCAGTCRCAGCATGTACAGCACTGTTTGAATAATGTAATACTTCATGTTTGATAATGCACGGCTATAGATAGGTCTACACTGCAGCCAAGTATTGATTGTGTTAAGCACATCTACGGTACGGCAAATGGTGTGGGTTCATATCAATCTTTACCGTGTACGGTACCTTAGTAACCAGATACCTTGTCTGATTACAGAGACTTCAGGGCCACTGATGCTGTTAATGACATTTATTGATAAATCCAATTTCTGGGCCAGTTTACTGAGGTGTGGTTCAATGTGAATGTGTGTAAGTCCTTAAATGTCCATATATGCYATGTGTCAAAGTGCAAGCAGATTCCCATGTATTGTACTTTTTTTTCCCCACTTCYTCTGGGCATACTAATGAAGAGGCGGTCACTCCAGACGTGCAGTGCGTGCCCTATAAGAGTTACCGCAAATTCAGGGGAGAATTTCAATATTAATGATTTATGTCATATTTGCATACAAACCTAATGCAAACCCACTCCAGATAATCACATTTTGCCAGATCTGAATTGAGTTTTACAGACGTCTGTACTACCCCCACCTACTCCACCCACCATCTAACAGAGGAATGTGTGCTTTTTTTTTTGTTCAAGCTTCGAGTGACACCCCAACAAAAGGGGTTTACAAGTGGACACATAAAGAAGAACTGTAATAGTACATTTTACTGAGACAAGTGTACCTATTATTTCTCATCAACAGAAGCACATGAACCATAACTGGCAGAAACAAGATAGAAAATTACTGAACTTTGGAACAGTTTTGAAAAACCATTATCATGTTATATTTATGTATACTTTTATTTCATCAGATTTTGCAAAAAAAAACTATTAATCTTTTTTGTCATATGTATTTAAATGTTGTGTAAACGTACATCAGGAAGATTACTACAATTATTGCTGATTAAATATTAGAACAACCTACCTGACTGTACTAAAAACAAATAATAAAACCACATTTATTTGCTACACTACACAAAGCTAACTACAACCTTGGATAGAAAACTACCTTTATAGGTTGAGTGTCTTTGTTATGTCACACTTTACCAGGCACCTGATGGTATGATTTAATTTAAGTTTTGACAATATATTTCTCTTCAGTTCTTTTGGAAGGAGGCCATTATACATCCACCCCCCTGGTTGAATATAATGACTCAGACTTCACTTACAATGAATGCTTGATGCAAACTTGGACATATAAGAAAGCCTTTTGTTCAACAGAGAAAGCCTTATCTACAAAATAAAGGTCAAGCATTCCTAGTTGCAAAAGGAGCTACCCACATTGCATAGTTTGCTTTTGCAAGGCAAGCTTTGGAATTACATTGAGAGCATTAACACACAGTCCTTATTGTATTAAACAGATTAAATGGTCTTGTTTATTATATATATATA